GACACAACCACTGTGATTTATAGAACTGTTTATGGCCAACCGTGTTTTGAAAATTCAGCAAACTGTGATTTATTTTATTTACACTAAAAAACAAACTATAGTAAAGAAATCTTATGACAATATATGAATTAGGTAATATTGGGATAATTTATTGGGTGATCCCAATCCCTGAAGTTTATAAACATGGTTTGTGACTGATTCCGATAGTATTTAACAAATCATACTTTAGTGCAATGTACAATCAAAATCCTTGTGGCTTCAAGATGTGGGTGCTGTACTCCTCACATACTCCAAAGTATGGCGCAATCCTATTTATTTGTCATCCTGAATCCTTTCAACTTCTGCATTACTAATAATGTTCTAGTTCCGGTTTGGGATGTTTTTGTTTGTTTGTGATTGACAGGTTATACATTATACATTTTTCAGGTAAAGAAATTGGACTGGACTGTGGTGAAAGAAATGGCCTGATTTTGCTTGACTTGCTCTGGAGCACTTTCCATTTAATCCGGATATTTGCTGAATTTCTTTGAATTAACCAATTGGATCCATGACACAATTCTTTACTAGATAGTTTTTAGTGAGATATCTGAGTCACCGTCTCTTAACTTACTTCTAGCATCTTTACAAGATGTCAATGCTCACGTAGAAGGGGAAAAGAAATGAATAAGGGAGACCATGGAAGCTCCTTAAAAATTAAAAGGCAGCATCCTTTGGAGAGGGGAATGTTATTACATGTCTGTGCACAGAAATAAACACTGTTTACATAACATTCTTGAGTAATAAATTACCCAATCTCATTTACATGTTAATTTAGCAAATTGTGCGAATCCATTCCAAGTGGTTATTTTATTCTTCTGGTTATGTTGTGCAAAGCTACAATACAACATTGAGTTAAATGACATTTCTTTAAACTATGTGTTGTGCCAGCCTTAGTGTCTCACCTAAAAATCTTCTAAGTTTACATTATCAGTGAGCAAAACTGTTTTTGAAAAACTGCTTTTAAAAATGCATCTATTTTCATTCAAGCAACTGTTTCCTGAAAATTTCTATTTTTACCAGCATTTCTGGTACATGTTGAAAATCATTGAAAATGTTACATGTTTTCTCATTAGAATCAGACTGGGAGGAGAATCATGATTTTATGTTTCTAATTTCTTATAGGTCAAATTCTATACCTGTGAATAGGTCATGAAGTTTTAGATTTAATTTTCATATTTCATTTTGTTTCAAAACTCAACTGCAAACCATACGTGCTCTATTCCAAATTGTAATATTTTATTTCATCACCTCTGTAACTCCATCTTCTGGTCATTACTGGTACAGTATTTTGCCTCCCCCCCCCCCCCAAAAAAAACTTTGTGTCTCCCTTTTACTATTTATGATTTTTTTTTAATTTGTGAAACATTTCTCTATTAGTAGACTGTATTGCCTTTATAGATGGAGTATTAAGAATAAGCCCTAAGCAACTTGCATGAATCTGCAATATCAGAATTGATTTGACTCCAAGGTCATGTTTGCAAAATAATAATATAATATAGTAACTGCTTCACAGATTCTTGATATAATCACATAGCAAATGAAGAAAGTTGCATTAGTATAAGGTTGAGTTTATCATAATAATTTCAAGACAGTGGCTTACTTGCCCAATAAAGTACATGGAAATCTGCCTATTAGTAGCAGAGCTCAGTCTTTGTGTGAATGCAGTCTTTAATTCGTATTCTGAGATATTCAAAGTCAGGTAGTTCATAATCAGGAATCCTAGAGAGGCACTGCCAATTATCTATGGAGATTCTCAGTCATCCAGGTCATGGTTGCCCAAAGGTGCTTTTTCAAGAGGCAAGTTATGTTTGCCTCTTGGTGTTTCGCTTCTTATCCAAGAAGCTTCTTTGGCTCTAAAGAAGCTTCCTGGATAAGAAGTGAAATGTCTTCAAAGAAAAACCAGAATTTCCCAGTTGCCTCTTGAAAAAGCACCTTTGAGACACTCCCAATTATATTAGACCAGTGTTTCTCAAACTTGGTCCCTTGAAGATGGGTGGATTTAACTCCCAGAATTTCCCCGATAGCAAAGCTGCCTGAGGAGTTGTAGGAGTTGAAGTTCACCCATCCTTCAAGGGGACAAGATTGAAAAACACTGCATTACACAATACTGGTCTAAACCAGTAGACATGAAGTCTGACCAATGATTGGACAACCACTATTATCTTGCAACTTACATCTATTTGAAAGAGGGATTCAGACCTGCCCTAGTATTCCCTTGTCTCCAGTGGTGGGATTCAAAAAAAATTCTGTGGGCGTGGCTTGGTGGGCATGGCTTGGTAGGCGTGGCAGGGGAAGGATACTGTAAAATCCCCATTCCCTCCCCACTACTGGGAGAAGGTTACTGCAAAATCCCATTCCCTCCCAACCCCATTAACCTCCTTTCCAGTGCAGGGCAACCAGAGGAGACCCAGCCAATCAGCTGGGACTTGGGAGGCAGAGAATAGATGGTGGTGGTGCCAGTCGGAGGTGGTATTTGCCAGTTCTCTGAACTACTCAAAATTTCTACCGGTTCTCCAGAACTGGCCAGAACCTGCTGAATATCACCTCTACTTATCCCCATTAGCAATAGTACCTACAGTGGTGTGTAACAAGTTTGTTTTTTTCAGCTGCCTGGAAGCCTCTGCTCATATGTTATTCAATTTCTTTTCAACTTTGAAATTTTCTTGGAAATTATTAAATTCATGTTCCTTTTTCTTATCTGGTTAAAAACTCTTGGTATGAATGATCTCTGGAGGAAGGGTTCATTGCAAGGAAGCTAATGGATATCTACACATTAGTTAACTTCTCTTTGAAGTTTAACAGCACCTTTTAATAGGGCCTGGAACAAGTTGAGCACCGATAAGATAGAAATCCAGGCTTTTGTTTTTATTACCAAGTTTGTTTTCTTATGTAAGCATATTATTTCCTGTATCTATGAAGCACTAGCACCTTTTTTGTATTCAGGTATTCATTAGAGCCATTCAGAGCAACACATATGCAGACCTTCACATGGATTAAGGAAAACAGCGTATCTCTTTGCCCCGTGTGGAAACACTCCAGAAGTATTAGAAGGGAAGTACTTCTTTATGTTAACCATCCTCTCCAAGAAAACACGGACAAGTGTGGGAGGAACTATTAAACTGAAGCTTATTAACAAAAAAAAAAAAAGTAATGTTGGCCTCTAGAGATAACTGCTTCCTAGAGGCTGAACATTGCTTCTTTAAAATCCTTGGAGAAAAATGATTTTATTATCTGCCTGGAAGCCAAACCAGGAGGGGAAAATGGTTTCAATCAGAAGGACAAAGACTCAGTTTACTTAAATAATCTTTAATGGAGGATCATGCTTTTATTTCCAGAAGATTTCTAACAGCACAGACAAGCATAGAGTTTCATCAAAATAGCCAAGTGAGAGGATACATGTGATTGCTAAAGGAATACCAGTTTCAATTCTGACACCAAAGCAAAAACAAACATGATGTACCAATAGGCAGATTAATGGCAAGGAGAAAGGAAGAAAATGAGAGATGAAGTTCAACTGATTATACATTTCTTCCTGGAACCATGTGTTGGACCAAACAAATTAACAAGGCTGAACATGCTGGCTGAAACAAATGAAACAAGACAGCTCTGTTGCAAAACAGCTTGGGAGACAGCAATTGGGGAGGAGAGGTGTGTGTGGAGGGAAGGGAAGGAAATTACCGAATTACTTTGCTGTGCCATTGAAGGTGAAACGCCAACTAGATAGGCTTTAAAGAATGGCTCCTTTTTCTTGGATGTGTGACCCTCCAAATAATGACACAAACTATAACAAAATGCTTCTTCCCCAAATAACATTAAAAAAGCAACCTATTTAGTCTTGGTGCACTTTGTGAATATCTTTAAGCAGGCAATTGTTATGACCTTCCGATTTTGGCCATAGCCAACTAGAACAGTTTTTACTTCTAACTGTGCTGGAGCACAACTTCATGCAGCCACCCTGGTTGAGGATTATGGGAGCTTTAGTCCAACGTATTTGGAGAACGGCAAATTGAGGTAGCCAAGTTTAGAAGGAGGGCATCAGAAGCGTCCAGTTCACTCTAGAAGCATTCCTTGCTAGTTTAACAAATGTATTTCCCTTTGTATTGGATCTGCTTGCCATCACACATTATTGGCAGCAACTGGGAGCAAGAACTAGGGAACTGACTGCCTTTTTTTATTAGACATAACACTGAACCTGAAGAGAGTGAGCAGTCTGAAGTTGTTTTCCTACTTCAGGAGAGGCCCCACAAGAGATTTCCCAATTATGACTGATGACACAACAACCATTAATAAGATGACAATAGCCTACTAGTATTAAAAGTAGCACATGAGAGTCAAAAGCTGTCAGAAAGGGGGGGGGGGGAGAGAGGGAGGAAGAGAGAGAGGGGGGGGGTCAAGTATAACAAGCAGTTTGAATCTGCTGCATTCTAACCAGTCCAAAAAAATTTCCATCTCCCAGGAGCTCCTGAATCAGACATGGCTGCCAGACATCTCCCAACATGAGGGACCCTCCCCAGAAAAACTCTAAATTTTAAAACAGCTGAAGGAAGCAGCAGCCCAAAAACGGGGCAACACTGCCAGAGTGTATAACCTCTTGTCCCATGGATAATGATTCTGCTCTAACATCCCCCTCCTCCTGTAACTGCACCATTAAGTCTGTAGGGAACAAAATGCTATCATTCCTGAGCTAGTAGCAACTTTGGGAAAGTAGATTAGACCCAATAAATGGCTTAATGCAACTCCACGTATCTTCCTACACCAATTGCGGATGAGTGTCACTGATCCAATCAAGCCTTAGAAATCACTTAAAAATTTGTTTTAAAAAACAACTGATCTCAGATGTCCTTCATCATCTCCATTTTGAACCTGATATATAATTAATAACAATCATAATTTCTCCTAAACTCCTTCAATGCCAGGCAGGTATCTGGGCTCCAAGGCTTTCTTCCAGGAGCTACTTTTACTTTTTCAGTGCCAGAATCATCTTCAATCTCCTTGCTACATTGATAACTGCATCAAACTTCTTTTATAATACTTGATTTGTAGAGGGAGACCAAGAGTTTCACAAAAGTTACAGAACAAATTAAAAACCCCAGTATTTGGCATGCTAACAACAATACCTCTATTATGTCAAGTCCACTTTGTCCCTGACAGTGCACAGTCACAAGCATGGAGGGAATCATAGGTTAGTGCTTTCCCTGAGCAAAAAAAAAAAAAGATTATTGGGTTTTGAAAGGAAACGACAGGAAAAAAAAATCTGTCCCTTGCCCCACTTCACATACTAGAGTATTTCTCAATCCTGACAACATTAAGCTGTCTAAATGTCACGACTTTCGAAGTGGTCATGCTGATGGGGAATTCTGGGAGTTAAAATCCAGACATCTTAAAAGTTTGCCAAAGTTGAAAAACACCATACTAGAGCTTAACACTGAAAAATGGAGGCTCTTGCCTAGTGGGACTGACAACAGCATTCTGCCCTGATGGCTAAAGGCAGGGCTGATTCCAGCCTCTCAAGAGACGCTTGACCAGCCAATGGGAACCCCCTGAAACAAAAGCGAGGTAGCTCAAGGCACCCCCAGAAGACTTTGGCCCTGGCAGATGTTGCCCAGGATATATGTAGACATGCTGGTGTTTCTTTTTGCCACTGGACAAATGTATTCCCGGGTCAGCACTTCCAGAATTTATTCTGCACTGAACTGGCATTTATGTTCCTTTTCTACCTCTCTGGCCTTGACTCACAAACGATCTGACCAGCCTTTCCATTCCCACTCCAGATGCTTTCCTTGGTTCCCGGGCCTGAACCCTGGAGACGCTTCTAAGTATTCATCTTCCAGGAGGCTCCAGCCAATTACCAGATGGCAAAGAAATCGTGGAAACGTTTCCACGAGATACCGAAGGAAACACACACACACACACACACACACCAGGAAAGTAGAAAAGTCTGTGGGATGAGGGAGGTGGATGGTCAGGCTCTTTTTGCGCTCACATAACAGGCCCAGCAGGTCAAGCCAGCGTGGGACTGAAAGGGAGACCGATTGTGAACAAGTCTCTTTCAGCAAGTATCCCGGATGGAGCTCATAGTCAGGACATCTTCTTCCTGGATGGTCTCCAGCATCTCTGTCTGCACAGCCTGGGTGATGAGAGTCAGCTCCTGGGAAAGCGTCTCATAGCGATAGGCTACCCGGATATCTGGCACATTGGTACGACGGATGTCATTGCCTTCGGGCCCCTCCTTCATGTAGTTGGGTCCAAGCCAGTAGCTCTTCACCTGAGGAACAAAGGGCAGAAATCAATCCAGGGTTAAGCCAAACGTTCTCCACCTGGACATTCAAAGACAAAAGCATTTATGATGGATACAGTATACTTCATAGTCACTCTGGGAGTGAAATGGGCAGTCTCTAGATTTAATACATAAACGAACAAATCCTTTTAAAAACAAGAGCTAGCACCAACTATTACCTCCCTCTTCCTCTTTCTCACATGCAAACTAATACATTCACTCGTGGGTCTTAAATTCTCACTTTTATGTTCACTTTAGTGCTTCTCTGGACTATTGCCCTGCAAAGAATTGCATAAATGGCTCAGTGGCATTCTCCACCCCAGGAAAGGCTGAGCAGAGAACAAAATACCTGAGTAGAGGCACAATGGTACTACAATTGCAAAGATAAAAGTCTTGGGACCGGCATTTCTGCTTTTTGCTCATTTGGAGTGGTTAAAACTATCAGAGAAAAGGCCTTAAATATCCATCTTAGTCTTACTGCTGCACATTAATGTGCTATGTTTCACTGGGATTTTGATCAAGAGTTGAATGCTTCCTGGAATTTTACAAGATGTATCAAGGTGTAGTAGGTTTATCATGCCCTATTAATATAACTAATTCCCTGGCATCCACACACAAAAAGCAGGCTGCCCTAAGCTTAGAACAAACCAATGACTTGGGGATGTATTGTTTATGTATTGTGTATACATGTATTGTGTACCTCTTTGGGTGGGTGGGGGGAACCCTACAGAAAAATTAAAATCAGTTTAATAAGGATTGAGCATAATAACTGAGAACATAATGGCAGATATTATGTACATGGGAGAACAGAAGGCCAAAGCAAAAAGGGCATGGCAGATACTGGCATTCTGAACTACCCCATTGCACTCTTTAAGACAAATTATTTTTGAACTTCATAATCAGGTGGGTGGCTACCTCACTGGTGAAAGGATCACATCTGCAGAGGTTTTTATATACCACCTCCCCAACATAAAATGGATTCATTTCCAGCCTAATTTCCCACAGCTGCCATGACCCTTTCAGGACAAAGGCTGCTCTTTTGCTGCAGGTGGAGTCAAGGGAAGGGAGGTGTTGGATATTGCTTTCCTCAACATTAGCCCTCAGCCATCTTATTCCCTTGAGTATAGACTTGGTTGAAGAGGAGGCTGCATGTAGGTGTTAAGTCTTCTTCACCAAACAGGCTGGTTGTTGTGATTCACCGGCAGCAGGTAAGGATGGCTGAGGTCTCAGAGAGCAAGGACTCAGATGAGGGGCCTGTGTGTGATGCAGGGATGGGGCCAGGACTATCAGACAGTGGGAGGCTGCCTTTGGAGCTTGTGGAGTCTGGCAACAGTGATGCAGAGGACCCCGAGGAGCCTGTGCCAGTGCGTGTGCAGCAGCATGGGTGACTCAGGAGTAAGGCTGCAAGGTGATAGCCCCTCCCTTAAGGGATAAAAGCCAGCCCTCGGAGGTGGGATTCTTTGCAGGAAGCAAAGAAGTTCTTGCACTTCAAGTTATCGTGGAAGTTCGGTCTATCCTGGTTTATTTTTGGATATTTCCTGGCAATTTAACTTGTGTTCTTGGAAGCCTTGCACAACCTTGACAGGGCTTGCTCTTATCTGGGACAATTAGTTTTAAAAGCGTTTTACTGTGAATGAACGGAATTCACAGAGATGCATTAAAAAGATTTTGCTTTTATCTCTGTTTTGCGTTTGTTTGATTTGAACGAGGCTTGGGTCAGAACACTGGTTCAGATGAATAAGTCTCTGTAAATCCTTGAACTTCAGAGCATTATTTTGGGAGGCCATAGCCTGAAGCCAATCCCTTTCAGAGAAGATTCTACATTACCTTGTGGGAGAAGCCACTCATGAGCACACTGTTCCGTGCAAGTTCACACATATCGCAGGAACTGAGCTTCCAAACCTGTGTGGCAATGCTGTACTCTTCCATCAAGGGTTCCTGGAAGGGATATTGTCAGTCAGACCCAGATACGTGCAAACAGGACATTAGCAAGCAGCAAAATATGCTACAGGACTGGCTTCAGTGATGTTAGTACCTATCAAATTATTTATGCACAATGCAGACTGTATGGAGTAGGCAGCAACTAAGAAGTCCAAAGCTATAAGTTAGATAGGAAAGTGGAGAATTGTCACAGAAGAAAGCAGCCACTTCCACATCAGGACAAAAATCCAACATTAGTAAGGCATTTAGCAAGTTTACTTTTAATAAAAACTGAGCAGAAAGCATTTCCATTATTTTATCTCCGATAGATAAAGTGGAGAACAGTGTGTGCCTGGGATAAGTAAATGATATATAGGTAGCCCTTGTTGTTAAGTGAGACATTTGTTAACTGAGCTTGCCCCATTTTATGACCTTTCTTGCCACCGTTATTAAGTGAATCACTGCAGTTGATAAGTTGGTAACCCTGTTGCTAAGTGAACCTGTCTTCCCCATTGACTTTGCTTGTCAGAAGGCTGCAAAAGGGGATCAGATGACCTTGGGGCACAGCTACAGCCATAAGTATGAACCAATTGCCAAGCATCTGAATTTTGACCACATGATCATAGAGCTGATACAAAGGTCATGTAAGAGTGAAAATGGTCACAGATCACTTTTTCAGTGCTGTTGTAACTTTGAACTGTCACAAAATAAACTGTTGTAAGTCCAGGACTACTTGTAAACAGCTAAAGCAACATCTTATTCTTCTAAAATGAGATGGTGGTGTGTCTGTCCCAAGCTGCCACAAGTGTTTCTACAGGCTAAACTTAAGACAGCACATTGCTCTTTTTACTTTGGTTCTTGTGGCCAAACTTTGAGCCACTGGGTGGAGACATTTCAATTACACTGGACAACAAAGATTTTGCTTCCTAACACTTTTGGTGTGTCTCATAGATGTTTGGCAGCTAATCACAAGAATAACCTCTAATTTAACCTATCATGTATTGTTTTATTGAAATCTATTTTTACACAATGGCAATATACACCGTTTTGATTTATATTGACTGTTTCCTAGTATGATTTGATTACTTATTGTACCCTATGACTATTATTAAGTGTTGTACCTGATGATTCTTGACTCTTGATGAATGTATCTTTTCTTTTATGTACACTGAGTGCATTTGCACCAAGACAAATTCCTTGTGTGTCCTATCACACTTGGCCAGTAAAGAATTCTATTGTATTCTATTCTATTCAGTACCTGGCTTTGATGCACACATGAAATAAACATACAAGAAAACATGGAACTGTTGTTGAAGCATATACAGTACACAAAGCACAACAGGAACCTCTGCAGCTTGGAATGAAGCATTATGCAATGAACACATGATACAGGCAGAGGAATAATTTATACAGCCCTGTTTTATTTCCACACTATATCAGCTAAAAAGAAGAGTATATTTCCTCCTTTGTGCCATCTTTCATTCCTTTGGGTCATACCTGCTACACAACACTCACCTTAGTGAAATGGAACTGCAGGGGATCGTCTGTGGACAGGGAGACCACGAGGCCCCGAGACAGGTACTCAGGTAGCGGATTTCGATGGTAGCTTAAGAACAGGCTGTTATTGCTAAGTGGAGACATAGCAATGCCCACCTGAGCCAGGTAGTAGAGATACTGCAGCACTGGTGCCTAGAAAAAAACCTCAATGTTAAGGCATGGGGTATCTCAAGCAAACACTGAGCCCTGCCTAATGCTTATTTCTGCATAAACATATACGGGTTCCCCCTTCCTTCAATCTACTTGGAAGTGTCATGAATAGAAACTCTCAAAAGACTGCAATAAAAGGCCCAATATATTATTGGGCCAGCATGCAGGCCTAATAGTGATCTATTCACATTTTCTTTTTAGGAGCATGGTGGCTCACGTAGTTAGGTTGACACTGGGCTGACAAGCAGCAAGCCCACGTTTGAAACCCGAATGCTGCTGTGAGACAGGATGACTTCCCGTCACTTGCTCCAGCTCCTGCTGACTTAGCATTTTGAAAGCATGCATTCACAAGTAGATAGACAGGTACCACTTCGGTGAGCACATTAACCAGGACATGAAAAGAGCCCCCAACTGGGCATCCCCCGGAGAATGGTGATGTCACTGGCCAACCCAGAAGCCCCTTGGTGCTTCTGACACGAGTGTGATGTGATTTTCTTTTTGCCTTCTGCCTAGGTCCCCACTGCGTGTATACCACAACAGTAGCTTTTATCACAACAACCAAAGGTATGTGGTGGTTTAAGCAGCAGCGTTGGCGTCTAAGCAACGTCTCTGCTTCATTAGATATACAAGTATGTCCATGTGTTTAGATATGGTATCAACTCATTTGCGTTCCCTCACCTTGCGGAGAAGGAGGCCGTGAGATATGTTCTCTGACAGCATGAAACCCGACACAAGATGGTGGATGGGTCCTGCCTCCCCACAGTGGGGTCGCACCACGAAGGTGTGGAAGCCCCGCTTCCTAAAAAAAGGAAAGCAAATGAATGGCGTTTTGGAAAAGGAGACGTCAAAATGCTGTTACGATGGAAAGAGGAACAGAAATTGCACCCAGCATACAGCACCAAAGCACCAAAGCCATGAAGCTGAAACACAGACCACAAGATCTGACCCTAATTCTGTATATTACTATTATTACCAGAAAGGTGAGAAAAGGGTATTCAAGGTCTTAAAAACCATTCTGGAGCAGACTCAAAAGGTGGGTGAGGGGCAGTGGTGCTATTCTACCGGTTCGGCACCGTTCTAGCGTACCGGTAGTGCCGAAGATCAGCTTGAGACTGAACCGGTTCTCTGTTGACAAGCTGCTGTTAGGCCCACTCGGGCCCACCTGCCTGGGCTCCCATACTGACCTTTATTCCCTGCTTTTGAAGCGCAGCTTCTTTGCATGGCACAGCAGATTGCTGCGCGGCAGCTGCTGAAGCTACAGGGATTGCAGGCGGTGAGTAGGAAAGCCTCTGCATGTGCGCAAAGTGCGTGTTTGGCGGGCGTGTGCAAAGCGCACCCACCAAGCCATGCCCACCAAAATGGTGGCAAACCTCTTTGAAACCCACCACTGGTGAGGGGGGAGATAAGAAGCAGACCACCTACCTACGCAGATGATTCAACACCACCATATTAGCATATGTGTAATAAAGGTAATATGAATATGGCGGGTTATCCTCTTCCATCCAATTGCCAGGTAAGGGGCTTTCCAAGTTGAAGTTATGGTGTTCTGGCTTGGACTCATCATCTACGCTATCAAAACCATCCACCTGCCCGTTCAGAGCCCAGAGAAGGAAAGAAAGGGAGACGACTTTGAAGCCTCTTGCATCTTCTTTCATGTTATGCAAATCAGCCAGAAGCCATGACAATTATTTTAGACTGATATATATATCAATTATTTAAGACTGATATATATACCAACCATTCTGCTATATGCCACCTAAGTGGTCTTCAAGAATCACATATATAACATTTGTCCTTCACTGTCCCAAATGCACATATACTATTAGCCATCCCTTTAACAAGTATTAGAATTTTTCCAATATCCTTACTTACGTGCTCCAAGAAGAGATGCAATTCTGGGTGGCTAGCAGGATTGATGGTAGCTTCAAAGAGAGGTAAGAAAATGTTCTCCAACATCTCCTGAAAGTTAGCCAACTGTTTCTTTGTTTTGTATACGTCACTGTTAAAAAGTCAAGAAACAAAAAGTGATAGTGCTCCATCCCACATGAATCTCTTCATTCCTGACACTTGACAACAGTGTTCCTCAGACCTTGTTCTGAGCTGACCGAGGATTGTAATTAGCAGTCGTGTAGTGTCACACTGCACATACCCAGATCCTTGGAAGAAGAGGGGAATGGGTAGCATATTTCCAAGAAGACTAAACTAGTTCATTTTTTCCCCTTCTGTTGTCAATGTATTAGGTCAGTGATCCCCAACCTTTTTTACGCCGCGGCCTGGTATCCCCAACCTTTTTTATGCCGGCATTAGCTGGGCGCCGCCATCTTTTTTTGATGAAAAAGTGCTTCCGGTGAGCTTT